GCTCGGTTCGCAATAAACAACTGCACCTCCCAGTCGCGAACCATTTCAACTCCCCCTCCCATTCCTCAGACGACATGTCCATCCTGGGCCTCCTGCAGTGCCACAACGATGCCACCCGAAGGTTGCAGGAACAGCACCTCATAGTCCACTTGGGAACGCTGCAGCCCAATGGTATCAATGTGGACTTCACAAGCTGTAAAGTCTCCCCTCGCCCTACCGCATCCCAAAACCAGCCCAGCTTGTCCCTGCCTCCCTAACCTGTCCTTCCTCCCACCTATCCCCTCCTCCCACCTCAAGCCCTACCCCCATCTCCTACCGACCAACCTCATCCCGCCCCCTTGACCTGTCCGTCCTCCCTGGACTGACCTATCTCCTCCCTAACTCCCCACCTACACTCACCTTTACTGGCTCCATCCCCGCCTCTTTGACCCGTCTGTCTTCTCCTCTATCCATCTTCTACCCGCCTCCCCCTCTCTCTCTATCTATTTCAGAATCCCCTTCCCCTCCCCCATTTCTGAAGAAGGGTCTAGGCCCGAAACGCCAGCCTTCCTGCTCCTCTGATGCTGCTTGGCCTGCTGTGTTCATCCAGCTCTACTCCTTGTTATCTCAGTCAATCTGTTTGGTTGTGTTTCAAATGCCAAGTTCTGGCACAGGAACTGAATCTGAAACTTCTGACAGAGCTAAACTGTACTGGATCTTTAGTATTACAGGAAGCTATTCTAAACAACTAAGCAAAGCTTACCCTCAGAACATGCTTGAACAAAATCCCAAAGACTCAAAGGTGACTGTTCTAAAACTACAACACACTCTCATTCTGAGTGCTACACTGACTGTTGGCCAGAAATTTACCGATGCTGAGAAGATCACATCAGAGTAAGTGCATCGAATTCAGATGCTTTGGCGCTTCACTACCATCTACAAGGTTCAAATCAAGAAAATTATGAAATGATAAACATTTAAGAAATGTGATGCAGCTGCAAAAACAAGTTTCAAGTATCTTGACATCCAGAAAACAACAGCTTTCCCTCTCAGCACAGCAATCAGTAGAATTAGGATCCTTCCCTCTATCACAGAAGGTGTTTCATCTTGTAACGTTTTTGATTAACTGGGTTCACGAGGGCCTTGCTACCTTTCCCGTTCTTCCTTCTTAACATCAGTGAAATCCCATCTCATATTACTCGTTTACATTGTTGATGATGATTTCACTACGTAGTGTGGCTACCAAATTAACTACATCGGGCTTTACAGGTTGCATCAAAATCAATTTAAATCTCAAGCAAAAAAACTTCCATTTAGAAAAGGTGAAAAAAATATCAACACAATACCTGCAATGACACCTTTAATTTTTTTGAAATTCACAAAAGGGAACAAACTTAAAATTAGCAATGCTATTGTTAAAGATAGCACATTACAACATAAAGTAGTATGACTGTGTGCATTAGTTTTATTATTTTTCCATGATCACGGGCTTTAAAACATTGCAGAATTAAGCAAACAAACAGCAATATTAAGCTTAACCCACTTTAAGTAGTAGTAACTGCCTGCAATAGCTTACCCCAGAGATATCAGCCACACGATGGATTGGCACCTCCTTTTTACTGTGCAGTCCCTTAGCATTCTTGATAGCTCTAAGAAGGCAAAAAATATAAATATATATAATACAAAGACGAAAAATTTGCTGCAAGTACTAGAACACAGCATCAGGAGTAAACGTATCAGTACAAAGTCAACAGTTGTAAAAACAACCAGAAGTCAGGGTTCCTCAGAATCCAGTGTAAAAATCCAACCTCTGAATTCAGGATGTTAATAATTCCAGAAATAAATTAAGGATGATGCAAAAAGAACTTCATACCTCAAGAACCACATTCTACAAATTAGTCTCTCTCAGATGTAATTTCCAAATACCCGTTTGCCATCTACAAGGTATATCAGGAATGTGGCTGGAATACTCTCCACTTGCCTGGATGAGATGGCTCCAAACAAGAAGCATGACACCATCCAGGACAAAGCAACCTGCTAGCTAGGTACCCCCTATATCACCTAAAACATTCACCGCTTGCACCAGCATGTGCAAGTATCATGTACCATCTACAAGATGCATTGCAGTAACTTACCAAGGCTTGCCCAACAACCCCCTCCAAACCCACAACCTCCACCACTAGAATGACATGGGGAGCAGATGCCTGGAAACACTGTGCAAGTTGTACTACCCAGCAAGTTCCCCCTCCAAGCCAGAGAACATCCTGACTTGGAACTATATTGTCATTCCTTAACAAGTTGATGGATTGAAACTACAGAACTACTTTCCTAACAGCACTGCTGGCATTACTACAACCCAAGGACTGCAGCAGATCAAGGCAGCTGCTCACCACCACCTTCTCCAGGCAAGAGAGTGGCAAAGAGTGAGTTCTCATCACTCCAGTAAGTAAAACATCAAAACTTGTGAATTTACTGGCATGTAAAGTTCATTTGCAGGTTGAATCAGGAATACAGGAACACAAATTGTCACTGATTTGAAAGGGCACCCATGGGGGGGCGGGGAGAGAAGAGTTCACACGTGCAGAACTTTGGCAGAGTTGCACAGCTGCTCTCAGTCCCCAATCTCCACAAAGCAAACTCCTTCCAGAAAACAGGCAACAGAAGCCAGTTTAAACTGCTATACTTGGTTACATTAAGATTTCATATGAAAACATGGTAGAATGATACACGAAACAGTTCAGATCCACATTGCTACAACTCCATTAACTTACTTGATTATTTTCACTCAATGTCCCCAAATAATGAGTAGAATTAATTCTAGCTCAACCATGTATTTCCATGCAGATAAACAACTATCACTACATAATTAAGCATATTCAAACCTCAACTCTCCTTGGGCACAGTTTGATTGTTCTTCACCTATTGACAGCAGATATAATGAATTACCAATCACAGATGAATTTTGCTCAGAATAACAAATCAGTAATTTTCTTAACCTTTTGATTGAGAGAGCAGTCATGGAGTCATACAGTGCAGAAAAGGCCCTTTGGCTCATCGAGTGTGCACTGGCAATAGCTACCACTAAGGGCACGCTAATCCCAATTTCCTGCACTTTCCCATATCCTTGAAATATCGTAACATTCAAGTGCTTATCCAAATATTTTTCAAAGGTTTTAAGATTTCCAGCCTCCACTACCTTCCCAGGCAGTGCATTCCAGATTCCCAACGCCCTCTCAAAGAAAGTGTTTTTCTCTCAAATCCCCTCTGAATTTCCTGTCCCTTACCCTAAAACTATGTCCCCTGGCGACGGACCCCTCAACCAAGAGGAACAGCTGCTCCATCCTCGCCCTATCCATATCCCTTAATGTTATACACCTCAGTCATGTACCCCCTCAGCCTTCTCTGTTCTAGTCTCTTCTTACAGTTCAATTGCTTCATCTCAAGCAACATCCTGGTTAACCTCATTCTCTACCCTTTTACATCCTTCTTTTCGTGAGGTGATGAGAACTACACACTGTATTCCAGCTCTGGCCTAACCAATGCTCTCAGGAGTTCAAAAATTCCTCCTTACTCTTACAGTCGATGCCACAACTGGTGAAAGCAGTGTGCCATATGCTTTAACTATCCTATATGTGTTCTACCAACTTCAGGAATCTGTGAATAGTTACCCCAAGATCCTTTCGTTCATCTGAGTTAGCCAGTACACTGCCATTCATTAAATACTCCCTCATCTTGTTTCTTCAGTAGGGCAGTTGGGAATGTGGAGTTGAAAGTGTTGATTTGGCAGGAGGGTGTCCTTCAAGTTTGAAGCACTATAGTGTTAGTGAGTATAGCCTCCTTTTTGATCAATCAGAGAACAGGCTTGATGACTGAACAACATGAAGTTTGCTGCAATTGATACAACTATTTACAGATTACATGAATATGACCTACATTATAGCAGAGACTGTTAGAAATACAATGGCCTCAGGTTGGTCCCTTAAAAGCACCTTCTGCACTCTGACAAAGCCCCCATAACATCATTGACTTACTATACTCTGATATTAACTCTTTCATATCCACATACAACCGGAAGGGAGAAGAAATTCAGATCCAACTTCAGTATTACCATCCAACAATAATCCTGGACTCGAAAGTACCACAAAATCTACAATGCTTTGAAGGTTTATTGTATCTCAATGACTTTGATGGTGGCAGCAGGGTACTACATTTTGGAAAGGGCGAAAGAGAGGAGAATGGAGAGAGCTAAAGAGAGAAAAAAAAAAGTGGGAGGAGAAAGTGCTGGGAAATAGAAAAAACTCCTTTATGGTGTAAACAGTTAATTTACTTTTCTACATTATTAAAAAATGTATAAAGGAATTTAAACACATGGCTGAGAAAAGTTAACCAAATTCTCTTAGCCCATTAGTTATCTATACATCAGGCTCCTTCTCTCTTTGTGGATCCTGACAATAGAAAAGGACCTGCATTGTGCCTTTCACTACTATGGGATATTCCAAAGCGTTTTACACCAAGCAAAATAATTGAAAGCCTAATTATCATTACCTCTTAGAAAACATGGCAATCAATTTGCAAACATGATAACAGTGAGATAAACAAAACCAAACAACAATAGACTCCTGAGATAACAAGGTGTAGAGCTGGATGAACACAGCAGGCCAAGCAGCATCAGAGGAGCAGGAAGGCTGACGTTTCGGGCCTCGACCCTTCCCCAGCTCAGAGCCTCCCTCTCCCAGACCTGCAAAATCTCTGAAACAATAGACCCCTGTTGGAATGTTTGCATGAATGGACACTTGCTGATGACGGGCCCATACCTATCTCCAACAGCCTCTACTGTCAAATAGAAACAGAAAGAGACTGTTTATCTCCAGGAGCCTGCAGAGCTATTCAAGTCACCTGTGACCTAATTCCACATACACCCTTGTCCAACATCCCTCAATGCCTTTGATCAACAGTAATCCATCAACCATAATTTAAAATTAATTACTGATCCAGCATCAACTGCTTTTTCCTGAAGACTGTGAGAAACTTCTGCCAGCCTCATTTGTGTAGTAATGTTTCCAACATCAATTCTGAAAGATCTGGCGCAAAGGTTTAGATTGCATCCTCTAGCCAGAGAGTCCCTAAATCTACCTTATCTGTTCATCTTACTATCTTGAAAGCTTGTATTAAGCCATCTCCTAAAATCTGTAACTTACAGGAAATAATAGTTTCTGTATAAGTTACCTTAGACTCCAGGCATCATTCTAGTAATTCCACATTGCAATCCATTCAAGGTCAATACACTCTTTGAAAGATGTAATGCCAAAAACTGGTCAACACATTTCAGGTGTGGCTTAACCAGAGTTTTGCAGAACTGCAGTATGACCATCTCGTCCCTTGCATTCCAATCTTCTAAATGCAAGAATGAGCATCCCATCAGCCTTTCTGATCATTTTTCAGACCCGCCCACAGCATTTTCATGTTCCATATACATGGACCCCCAAATCTCTTTGGACTACCAATGTGTTAAGCTTTCACCCTTAATAAAGTAAGCTGATTTACCCTTTGTAGGTATAAAGCCGATCACCTCAGGCTGGACTGAAAGTCATCTGGCACAGTTTTACCTATTCACTAGATATCTCTAGTATACCAACCTGTCCGTGCTCTTTGCTTCATTGCAATGGTAAAATTCTGCTACTCTTGTACAATTGTCTGGAGTTTGGAAAGACAAAAGATATTATATAAAAAAAGCATAGAAAATAGGAGGAACAAACCCTTCGAGTCAGTGCCGCCATTCATTATGATCATGGCTGATCATCCAACTCAACAGCCTGCTCTCACTTTTCCCCATATCCTTTCATTCCTTTAGGCCCTAGTGCTATACATAATTCCTCCTTAAATTATAAAATGTTTTAGTCTTGACTGCTTTCTGTGGTACTGAATTCCGAACACTCACCGTTCTCTAGTGAAGAAATTTCTTCTCATCTCAGTCTGAAATGGTTTACCCCTGTATCCACAGACTGTGACCCCGGGTTCTGAACATCTTTCCTGCATATATCTTGGCTAATCCAGTTTAGAATTGTGTGTGGTTCGGAGATTCTCCCCTCATTCTTCTGAACTGCAGCAAATACAATCCTAACTGATTTAATCTCTCCTCATAGGTCCATACTGCCATGACTGGAATCAGTCTGTTAAACCTTTGCTGCACTCCCTCAATGGCAACAGCATGCTTTCTCAGATAAGGAGGCCAAATGGCACAAAACCAATCAAGGTGTAGTCACCAAGTCCCTGTTTAACTGCAACAAGACATCCTGCTCCCTACACTCAAATCCTCTCGCTATGAAGGCCAACACGTGATTTTGCCTTCTTGGGCTCCTGCTGCACCTGCATGTTTACCTTCAGTAACTGGTACAGGGCATGGGTTTCGTTACACATTCCTCTGTCAGTTTATAGCCACAGATAACAATCTGCCTTCCTCTTTTTGCTCCCAAAGTGGACAATCTCACATTTGTCACATTATAATCCATTCGTCATGTATTTGCCCACCCACTCATTTAGTTCCTTCATCCAAATCATTAAAATACATTATGAATAACCAACGTCTAGCACTGATCCCTGCAGTACCCCACTAGCCACTGCATGCCATTCAGAAAAAGATCCAATTTAT